ATCAGCATTTAAATATGATACTAGGAGATGTGGAAGAAACTGTAACTACTATAGAAATTGATGAAGAAACATATGAAGAGATAATAAATCAATGAAACAAAATATTCCAATGCTCTTTGTCCAGGGAGATGGTGTCAAATTAGTTGCCCCTCCATTGAGGCTAGGCTAAAACAAAGAATTTGTTCTGGATGGAAATATAGGAGACTTTGTATGGTTACCTCTTTAAGTGTGCAAGACCTTCAAAAAAGAAACACGCATACATTTTGATATGATCAGAGGATTTTTTCACCCCTAAATGAGCTGATTTATAGATAACTCAACTTCTTAGATGGATATCATTTTTGTTTTTCTCCAACTCTTCCAATAAATATGACTGTTAAGATGAAAAAGAGTAACTATTATAATTGCTGCATTTTTCAAAATTTCCACAAATATACACATTTATATGTACAAAAATTTAAAATAAGGAAATACTATTTGAAAGATATATAAGACATAGGTTTGCTTAATATTTAGAAAATGTTTTTAAAAGAATATATAATATTTTATAATATATATATATATATACACACATATAAAGAGGAAAAAGTTATCTACTACTTAACCACTTAGAAATAATCACTCAATATTGCAATTTTTAAAATATTCTTTTCTATACATAAATCTTCCTATAAACAAGGAAATCAGACAAATGAGTTATTTCCTACTTGTAGATAGCCTTCCATGAAACTGTTTTATTTTTTTAAAGCTTTACCTGAAGCTTCATTTGTCACTTTCAATGGTCTGAAAATTTTCCAGTGGTGTTAAGCCAAGCTCAGATCTCCTCAACGTGTGAAATTATGAGATTGTTCAGTTCCATACTGGCCGCAGCATGTTTAAGATGCTGGCCCAGGTCTCTTGTTTAATGACCACTTACCAACACAAGATGGCAGCAGCAGCAGAAGAAAGGGAAAGCGTCGTCTCTTGATGAGATAAAGTCATTGCTTACTGGGCATGACTTCAAAAAGAAGTTGGCCCTTCCACAGTGCAGAACAGGCAGTTGGTGGACTGCGTTAGCATGAAGGGGAACATGTCAGAGAATTAGCCAAGACACAAACAGGTAGGAAAGTATATCTAGAACCTTAGACCCAGGGTTGGCAAATGTTCTATAAAAAAGCCAATTGTAAATGCTTCAGGTTGTATGCGTCAGATTGTCTGTGTTGCAATTGTGGTTATGGACAGTCGTAGACAGTAAGTAGAAATGAGTGTGGCTATGTCCAAAGCACTTTATTTATTTATTTATGGACATAAATCTGAATTTCTAATGACATTTATATGTCACAAAATATTATTCTTTGTGTGTGTGGTTGGTTATTTATTTATTTATTTATTTATTTATTTATTTATTTATTACCCTCCTAAACCATTTAAAACCCATTTGTAGCTCATGGGCTGCAAACAGACAACAAGCCAAATTTCACCTTTTGCATGTTGTTTGCTGACGTCTGCTCTCAGGTATATGCCAAATCATGCAGAAATAAGCTCTTTTTGGGTTTTTTAACATGGAATGCCCAGAGTCCAGGTGGACATAAAGCAGTGATTAGGAACCCATGCTAAGAGTTTGAAAAGGAAAGACCAGTGAGCAGAAGTGAGTTTGGTTCACAAGGGCTCCAGCCTGTGGGTCAGTTTTTATATGATATGGAAGCCTAGGTAGGAAATCATCTAGAATAAAACTGAATCCTGAGACCAAGGTGCAATGAAACGAGAACTTGCATATGGCTTCGTTCTAGAACCCAAATTTAGCTCCTGAAGGTTGTATCACTCAGAGTCAATAGATACAAATTCATGGATGGAGTGGAACAAATTAGGGAAGGAATGTTCTC